AGATCTATATGTACTTTATCATCTTAGTTTTAATTACAGGAATTCTTAGGATTAGATTTCAATCCCTATGGAAAATGATACTCTACTCTCACTATATTAAAACTTGACACCGTACACTTGCGGTTGGAAAAATCACGCATCAGTGTGCCTTGTGTTTTTACTCACTAGATTGATAATAAATAGAGAAATTTTTGTTTTTCTGTTTCTTATGGTGATAGGTGTTGTCTATTGTCGATAAATTTGGTGGGGGGCATGGATCATGTTAGTGGTTTTACATGATATTGTTAATGGAAGTTCAGACTTCTCATTCTTTGAAAAAGGATTTGCGAAATAATCAACAATGAACAACACTGGGTTGAGATGAAAGAACATAAAAACAAACGTCATAAAGAGAGCTACGAGATGAAGAGGCAAATGGAAAATCTTGATAACAGTATCAGGACCTCTACAAGGATGAGGCATATGACAGTTTGAAGAATAGTAATTGGTGAGTTAAATTACACTGAAACTTTTAATTGATGTAAAGTGAACGAGTGTAGTGGTCTCTTTTGTAATGACTTTTTTCACTTTTTGGGTAGTAAACATGAGTTCCAGAAGCATAATTATATTGTGGTGCAATTGTGTAGAGATGATTCGCGTGGTGCATGAGATTGTGTTGGTTTTGATTCGTGGTTTCCCAGAAATTATAAGGTCACTTTATGATCATGATCTATTTGCAGAAGAGACCATTCTTCACTGGTTTCGTAAAGGAATAGGCCCAAAGGACAAGTATGTAACTTACTATTTTTCGTGGTTTTGATATTGTTCTCCTCTCTCCATCTTGTGTGTGTTAATTTTGATGTGACTTGACCCAATTATTTTTATTTTGCATTGCTACACAAGCAGAGCTTTGTGAAGGCATTGGAGTCCTCTGTAAAATGGCTAGAGGAAGCAAAAGAAGAGGAATAAGTTTGTAGTATCGGAATAGTTAATCAGTCGTAAAGCTATTATAGACTAACCAAAACAATTGAATGGACTTGATGCATTATTTATTTCAGAATATGAGCATATATCAATTGTAATTTCTAGTAGATTAACGTTTGTAGACTGGTTTTGGTAATCGAGAGATTTTGAAGCTATTTTGGTCTAGTTAATACTTAACTTGACCATAAAAAAGTGACACATTTTTAGTGTTAATTTTTGGGTGTTTGTCAATTCTCTAATTTTTTTTAGTGTCACTTTTTTTTAATTTTTGTCATTTTTGAGTGTGTGTCATATTTTCTTTCTATTTGATGTTACTTTTTTTTAGTGACAAACATTAATTTTTAATAAAGTAACATTGTATGTCACTTTTTAATTAAAAAATGAAGCTGAAATTTAAAAATTAACGTTTAGTATTTAGTGGGTAGATTGTGTTCAATTAGAGCCATTGTGGTCTGGTTAATATTTGATAATTTTCTCGAGTGTGTAGATTGTGTCACTTTTTAATATTTGTCACCCTTTTTTTGAATTTTTGTCATTTTTTTAGTGTTTATTACTTTTTTTTCTGTCGCTTTCTTAAAATTTATATCACTTTTTTGAGTAACGAACAACATATTTTTATTTTTTAATAAAAAACGACACTAAACTTGAAAAATGTGACATTGCGTCACTTAATTTTGTATAACATTTTTTATTTCTTCTTTTTTTATTTTCCGTCACTTTTTAAAATTTCTATCACTTTTTTGAATTTTTGTCACTTTTTTTAGTGCGTCACTTTTTTCAATCACCTTCTTGATTTCTATCACTTTTTTTTTATTGACAAACATCAATTCCCTACAATATATAAAAGAGGAAACTTACTTGCACTGTTCCTAAGCCATTTGGCCACCCAGCCGAGCCGTTTTCAAGTGGAGCCATAGAAGCCGAGCCATGTAAGAGGAGATTTTTCTGCCTTTTCCTTTCTCTTCTCACACACGGCAACGTGCTGCTCTCCCATTTTCAATTTCCATCTGACACACGCAACGTTTCTCTTCTTTCCACAATCTTTCTTCAACCCATTTTCGTTCCTTTTCGAAATTCTTCAGAAGAACCCAA